TACAGCAAGGACTTTCTTCTGCATAACGGACAGATAATGTGTACAAATACAATACAGTACTTTGCGGAAAGAAAGACATGCCCACTCGTACAAATATAGTCAGCACCAATTTTCGTACCTAGCTTGGAAATAACAGCTGAAAATGAGCTTTCAATCAGCAGATCAACAGGTGTCGGGGCCCAAAACCGATTAGCAGCCATGTCACGCGTTTAGCCAAAATTAAAATTAATTAATTGCTTGTGTGCTTCGTGGATCCAATCCACTGCATGGCAGCCATGTGGCTATCCGCAAAATGTAGCTCGAATGTCGTTCCCATTTCTCGTATAAAAAGCCAGGAAAATACAAAATATTCGCGCGATGCATAGCGTTTAATAAATCTAATAAGGCCATGCCAAAACATCAAATATTGCATATACTCGAAATAAAAATCCAAACCCGTTTGCGACATCCGCGTTGACGAGGGTCTCGCTCGATTTCAGGATGTACGCGCCTCGTTCTGCTTTTGGAATTCGGGCATGTCCTACCTACATATGTATTTGTCAAACAAATTGGCCAGATATTTGTGTTTGACTATTGTATTTGCTAATTTCTTAGCTTAAGCGGAGTTTATGGGCTTCAAAATGTGGCTGATGTTTGGTTTTCCACGGATACCAAATAAAACCTATTAAAAGAAGCAATCATGCACTTTGTATTAGTGTCCTTTTTTATTTAACTGGTTAACTAAATTTGTTCAACATTTGTTTGCTGTGAGCGCATATTTTCCAGCTTAATCTCGCGATTCGAAACATAACGGACAAAAGCAGTGTCTCAATCTCCCATTCTAGTTTTCCGTTTTTCTGTCATATACGAGTAGGCCCACACAAAGCGGCCCACCGTCATTCACTATATTCCCTTCTTCGAAAACTGAACTGGACATCTATAGGCCCCAGAACGTGAGCACGGAGATCTGTACCGTAAAGGCTGGTCAACCAACCTATTAAAAACTAGTCGACCTGCGACTAATGCAGAAATATCAGTCCATGTACCTTTATTTTTGGCTGACCATCTCGTGGCCCCAACTACCGATTAGCATGGCGCTAAGCAGATAGTAGTTGCTGATATTTTGTTTTCTAAGGATAGCCTTAAAAATCCTTTGAGTAATCCAGCTTATGAACTGACTGCTGATAACCCAAAGCGTGCAAAGCCGATGAGGTTGGTAAAGGAAAAGTGGGCCGAAATGTCCGTGAACCACCGTGAATGGTAAATTGCATCAGTTGTCAGAAAATTTCCTAATTTGACGGGGTGGAGCAATCGATTTCGGAATCGAAAAGCCTTTACCCTGTACATATTCTACCTAGAGTCTTTGGTCTCTCGATAAGTAGCTAATACTTAAAACATATTAAACAGCTTTGATTCTTATTACATTTAATCGATAATCTAACCATTCTACTTTATCCCGTACCCATGCGCAGAGTCCCTTACTAGAGGCATATAAGTTTGTATACCGATCGACTGCCCAACCTTACCTACCCCTGCTACCCCGCACCAAGCCCAGACGCCGGAACCTGCCACCATAAATCGCATAGCCAGAAAAACAAGGACAGGGCTTTCAAGCAAAAGGAAAATTATTATACGCCTCATTTTCCAGCGCCTCCAAGAGCCTGCTTATTATATTTTGATTATTTCTGGCACTCGTGTTGCTCCAGCAAAAATGAGCTCAAATTGAGGCGGAAAACCGGGTTCCCGGCGCTGTAAACAGATTCGTAAATACGCAGACCGACTGGTCAAGACTGGCCCTGTTGATGAGTAGGGATGGGGGATATGGACGGACGGCCTTCTGTACGGATCTTTGGGTGCATAATTTTTTCATTTTGGACTCGTTGGCCTGCTTTTGTCCATAATGAGATATCTCTATTCTCCTTTGTTTCTTTCCGTCATTTTTTCTTACTCTCTCCCAACTGTCCATTGTGTTCTCGTATTATTCAGGGTGTGCGTGTGTGCTCTGTTGTTTTTGCATTTCGCAAAATGCCGCTGGGAAATTCGTACAGCTGAAAGGAAAAAAACGCGGGAATCCACGCGCCAGAATTCCAATGATGGCGTCGAGGTGGTGGCCTTATTAATTAGAAAACGCGCCCGCCTCTCTTCTCTCGCCAGCTTTTTCCCATCTGAGTGTATGTACACGTCTTTCATGGGGATAGAACCAGACGTGGTATTTGCATTTGAATGGGAATATTCAAAAACGAGGGCAGATTCTCTCCGTTGAAGAGAACAGTCCACAAAAATGGGACGTGGAATCCCTATTAAAAACACGTAGAGTAGATCGAAAATGCAATTTCAAACGTTCAAAATATAGTCTGCACGCCTCCATGGCGCTACGATATTTTTTAGAAGCTTCACAATACATTGTCTAAATTGCACTCTGTTTCCGGTGCATATTTGCTTTTATAATCATAATGTCCACCATGCCACTTTGTCCCGATATTGTTTGAAAGTTAACTTAACCAATGGAGAAAGGACCATTCCAAAACAATGGAATTTAGATGAAAATACCAATGGTATATGATTCATGTCACCTTCTGCAATAGGCAGCTCGCAACATGTAGCACGGTAATCGATATCCGCTCGGCATCATAGCCGACGACTACGGATCGGCGGACCATACCAGCGAATCCAAATTGAGTCACCAACAGAGATGCAGAGATGCTGACGATCTCGTAGATTCTTATATAAAGATTAGATTCCTTGCAGATTCCATAACTACTTTATTTAACCCTTCCATTCATTCCATTCCAGGTGGCCCTCTCCGATGGCCAGGAAAACCTCTTGCGAACATCGATATGCCCACCATCGTTTACCAGGTACTTCACCCTTCTGGTCTTGGGGTTCACATGAGCAAGTGTGCGCTCGATGATGGCTGTCCATTCCAGGCACCCGATCGGAGCCGATGCCGTGCGCCCTTCGGGACATGATTCCGGTCCCGATAGGCAGTGGACCATGGCCCTCTTCCTTGCGTCACACGCTGTTTACTCCGCCTTTCCAGTCCGCTCGCCGTCAGTGTCTCCTCCGTTGATGATTCCACGGCAGTCCTGCTATTTGCCATATCCATGATGCCCCACCTGTGTTGCTGAGTCCACAATGCGGCGGCCCGTCCGCTGCAGTGATCGTGCAGTGACCAGAGATCGCGTAAGTGAATCACTATATATTATGATTGTGCATGTATTTTAAAATATATCTTCCTTCACAGGAGCCTCCACGACCTGGCCATCGACAGCAAGGACTTTGACTACGACAACCAAGGGAGGAGCTAAGCGGGCTACTAGACTCTAGATATATCTCCTTGTTGTTAGGTTTAAGGATATACTCTTTCATTTAGATATTAGATACAAAAAATGTTTCCTACTTGTGTATTTATTTATACTAAGCTAACTTTTAATTAATAAAAATATTTTAAAATCATCCTTTGTCGGGAAAATTATCCCGACTGCAAAAAGGAGTGGCACGTCCAGATCAGTGACTAAATAGCGGAGAAAACTACACATTTTTGATGGGGAAAAATGTCCTTGGTCCTTGATAAGGACTCCATAAAATTAGGGACATTTATTCGCTCACAGGAAGACGTCGCACGTCCCGATCGGGCCACAAGTAGCTGAGAAAACTAAGTAAGTATGGTTGGGGTTGTTGAAGTCCTTACCGGAGGATCGAGGAAATTTTTCCGAACTCAGGCAGACGTCGGCCGTCCCGATCGGGCCACAAATAGGGGAGAAATCAAGATATACATGTCTGGACCAAATATCCTTTATCCTTGGTCCTTGATAAGGACTCCATTAAATCAGGAACATTTTTTCGAACACAGGAAGCCGTCGCACGTCCCGATCGGGCCAGAAGTTGCCGAGAAAACTAAGAATGTATGGTTGGGGTGGTTGGAATCCTTACCAAAGGATCAAGGATATTTTTCTGATCACGGGGGCCATGACACGTCCCGATCGAGCCACAAATGAAGGGAAATCCAAATCAAATATGTCTGGAGTAAATATCCTTGATCCTTGGTCCTTGATAAGGACTCCATCAAATCAGGGACATTTTTCCGATCACAAGATGCCGTCGCAAGCTCAGATCGGCCCATAAAAAGCGGAGAAAATTAATATTTTCGATCCCGGATATCCTTGGTCCTTGAAAATGGCTTCATAAAATCAGGGACATTTTTCCGATCACAGGAAGCCGTCGCACGCCCAAATCGGCCCACAAATACCGGAGAAAACGGCCAAAATCTGAATGGGACACCAGGCGAACAGAAATGAGCAGCAAGCAACTGCAGCAATTGCAAAAAAATTTCGCAGCATACTTTAGGGGGCCACAAATTTTTTAAAAAAATTCAGTTACCTTCTGCTGATTTCTGTTGGCCTGGTGTCCCATCCAGATTTTGACCATTTGACGGTAGTTTTTTTTTTGTGTACGGTGGCGCCCCTATTGGTGATTTCTTGAACTTAATTTTCATAGCCAGTTTTGTTTTCTCCGTTATTTGTGGGCTGATTTGGGCGTGCGACGGCTTCCTGAACTCGGAAAAATGTCCCTAATTTTATAAAGCCATTTTCAAGGAAGAAGGATCAAGGATAATTACTCCAGACTTATTTAATTTGGATTTCCCCTCATTTGTGGCTCGATCGGGGCGTGTCATGGCCCCCGTGATCAGAAAAATATCCTTGATCCTTTGGTAAGGACTCCAACCACCCCAACCATACATTCTTAGTTTTCTCGGCCACTTGCAGCCCGATCGAGACGTGCGACGTCTTCCTGTGATCCGATAAATGTCCCCGATTTTATGGAGTCCTTATCAAGGATCAAGGACATTTATCCCCAATCAAAAATGTGTAGTTTTCTCCGCTATTTGGTCACCGATCTGGACGTGCCACGCCTTTTTGCAGCCGGGATAATTTTCCCGATAAAGGATACAGCAAGGATGATTTTTCAATAGTTTTATTCATAAAAACTTAGCTTAGTATAAATAAATAAACAAGTGATAAACAAATTGTTGTATATACTATCTAAATGAATGCGTATATCCTTAAGCCTCCCTTGGTTGTCGTAGTCAAAGTCCTTGCTGTCGATGGCCAAGTCCTGAAGGTTCCTATGACGGAAGATATATTTTAAAATATATGCACAACCATAATAAATAGTGATTCACTTACGCGCCTCGAAGATGAAGCCAAGCGTTTGATTCGGTGGCGTATTTTGCCCTCGATTACTGGTCCCTGCACGATCACACAGTGGCTGCAACATTCCAGACAGTAGCTACGTGAGCTACCGATAGGATGAGGAGCTACGGTAGAGAATCTACGATCACCCGCGGATGAGATACCGACGGCGAGCGGACTGGAAAGGCAGTGGCCGGACCTAAAGGTCCTCCAGGCCATAGGCCCCTGCCTATAGCGACAGAAGTCATGTCCCGATGGGCGCACGGCAGACCAGAAGGGTGAAGCCCAAACGATGCTGGGCATATCGGGGTCCGCGGGCACGCAAGATGTATTCCTGGCCACCATAGCGCGTGTCCTGCTAAAATGAAAGGAAGAGATAAATAAAGTAAATGATTAAATAATAACTTAATATCTTTACCTGGTGGGGTAAAAGGAGAGGATCGCTGCATAGTAGTTTGTAGCCAGAGAGGGTCTCGGCCAATAGAGCTGAAGGAAATACAAAAATAAAAGAAGAAGAATCAAGAAAAATTAGTCAATAAGCTTCATCAAAATCGGAATCCGAAAAAGGACTGAGTAGGTAACTAGAAACTAATCAAAAACTTAAGCAAAATATCAGTTCTGTACACCCTATCAAATTTATTAGATAGTCATTGTTCCAGTATTCGTATTCCAGTATTGTTCGAGCGATGTCCAGTCTGCCTAGAGGGTTTGGCCGCTTCCTCACTCCGGGATCGGAACTCAACAACGAACTGAGCCAGAAGATAGCGGTATTCGATGCCATGACCATTGAGCGAGAGGAGCTAGATAACGATATCAGTCTATTGCGCAAGCAGCAGGCTGATACTGAAGATCGTCTGGCCGAGGCTCTGGCCGAGGACGAGTTCCAGAGTTTCCTGAGTGGACAGCAAGTCGTGGCGCAGAGTTATACAGACCTCGAAAATATTATTAATCAACAAATTGGATCCATTGTCGATAAGTTGGCTGCTAAATATGAGCGTATTGTGTACCTCGATAACGACCTAAGGAAGCTTAAGGAATCTATCGAGAAGGGTGTTGCTGCGGCCAATGCGCAGTTGACATCAGCGGCGTCCATGTGATTTAATGGAGAAGTAGTGAGTACGGAGCCCTTCCTTTCTTTTATTTTTACGTAAATCTTTCAATTTTTTCCTTAGCTAAACCAAATATACATATCTGTGCGCGAGAGGCCAGAAGAGCTGCCTCGTGAGTAAATTCTGTGATCTTCTAAGCCTTTACTTGAAAATCTGTGCATTATTCCCAGCAGCAACTAACCAGCAATTCGGACCACAATTTATGGAGGACAGGTCATATTCAGTTTCTTGTGAAATATATACTTGATTTAATTGATACCACCGATGGCGTCATAAAAAATAAATAAATAACTGCAGTTTGGATTTGAATCCTTCATTCAAATGATATCTGCCACCAATTCTTGGCTCCATTTTCCCTGGTCCACTCAAATCGAATTTAATGTGAAGGAAGTTAACGCCCAACGCCCAATCGCATTTCCGCTCACTTTTCCACATTCACACAAACCATCGCGAACCCAAAGACACTGTAAATTAAATTGCGTATACGAGCAGTTGCCAATGCGGTGACAGGAGCAGCAGACACACTCCGCTGGCCCTTCCGTTACGGGCATAAATTCAATAATGCCAAGCGTCTGGCACTATCAACGTGCTCCGATGGAGTGTGGAGTGGCCGATCGATATAGTTTCGGCTGAAAAATGTATTGTGTTTCCTCTGGAAGGAAGTTGTGGCGTCTTCTCTGTCGGTCTCAATATGTGAATATGAGCGGTTCGATCCAGTTCGTTTATAAATGTGATCTCAGCTTTTCTGAAATATTCAAAGGGAAATAAATAGTGCACAGTAAAGGGCCTAGCAAATAAGGTGCTTGGTAACTGGCATTAAAAAATTCTTCTGAAACGTACAACTGTTAAATCTTGTTTTCATTTGCAGTAAAGTGTCTGGGAAAAGTGAATGGGAAGCCAATGTGGTTTCTTATTCGGAAGCAAAAGTGATGAAAATGAGGGAGATATTATTGTAATCATTGTCTCTCTATTATGAGCTCTAAAATCCTTATCTTCAGAATGGAAACATTTTACCAACGTTTCAAAATTGCAATGAAACAAAAGTCAAGCAAAGTTCTTTAGTTAGAAGACAAATAGATTGTAAATTCATTTATTTATCAACTAAATGTTCAATTATTCCACAGAACTGCAAGTAAACACGTAAGCCAGAACTTTAGTTGGCAGAGAAGGTTCTCCAGGAAGGAAGAGTAAGGGAAAGGGATAATTCAGATTATATATTTGATGTTACTTTGTTTTGGTTAAGCATTAATGTAAACCAAATGTTTCAGAAATTGGACTGGATTTACTTAGACAATTCACTTCGTTTATATTTCCTTCAAACGTGAACAGGGCTAAGCAAACAAGTCATATAGAAGAATAGAACATTTGAATGAAATTAATCACAACGACCGGCAAGGCCCTTGGTCTCTCCGTTAAATTTACTTAGTCACTGGGTCCTGACATCTAAGTCAGCCGATACTTTCCAACTTAGAGAGTATTTTCTTAGTCCAATCCATTTGAGCTTAAACTGACCATTCAATTGAATCCATAATGAACATGATAAAAATTGATTTTAATTCAATAATATGTTTTAAAACGCCATCAATGCATCTTTTTGATGCTCAAGAATACAAACGAATACAATGAGCCCTCGAGCCTGTCGAGCAGGAAGTAATCTTTCAATTATCGCTGACCATTTATTCGCCGAGTCCAGGCTCGAAGTCGCGAAGTCCATCAATAACAATTGCCCGAGCTTCAAAACTTGACTCAAAAATTTTCAGCGGTCCGGAACTCGTTTGTCTTTATTATAATAAATTGACGCGCCAGACATATTTCATCTGGGCGATGAAATATAGAATGAGGCTATAATGAGGCGTTATTAATATCAACTTGCGACTTGTTTAGTGACAAGCCCCCCAGGCCCCGCGGACAAAAGGCATTATGCACAAAAGTAAAAACAAACAAAATCCTTGGACCGCTCCTAACCCTTAAAAAACTAAGCCGCCTCTTCTTGAGAAGCTTTCCCAAGTGTCAGGAAAACAAATGACGGTCAATTTTTTTCTTTGTTCCTAAACCAACCTTGAATGAACATTCCTTTCTTATACCGACAACGACAACGATGGCTTTTCGGGGCCTTGAGGCACATGTCTGTAACCCGAGTAAATAAAAGGGATTTTTTGTATTAAATATCAAAATTAAGTTTATTAAAAAAGCGACGGTGGGCTGTAACAAAAAAATCGATTCTCCTTTAAAATTGTATTTTGTACACCCGATACTCAAAATGAGGGGTATATTAGATTTGTGGTGAAATTGGATGTGTGTAACATCGAAAAGGTGTAGTTTCCGACCCCATAAAGTATATATATTCTTGATCAGCATCAATAGCCGAGTCGATTGAGCGCTGTCTGTCTGTCCGTCTGTCCGTCCGTCCCTATCAGTGCCTAGTGCTCAATGACTATAACAGCTAGAGCAACGAAATTTTACAAAATTGTCACTGTTACAAGAATAATTAAAAACATCGGCCCGCCCACTTCCGCCCCCACAAAGAGCGAAAATCTGTGGCAAAGATAGGAGAAAACAGAACACGCATAATCGTAGAGGATGACTACATCTTCTAGAGGGCAAAATCCGAACCAGATCGAATAATTATTATAGCCAGAATCAAGAAAACAATTTAATAATTGAATTCAATTCAAATTCAATAAAAATTAAGAATAATAATTATCCAATAAAAATCAAGAATAACAATTATAATAACGATTATTCAATAAAAATCAAGAATAACAATTATAATAACGATTATTCAATAAAAATCAAGAATAACAATTATAATAACGATTATTCAATAAAAATCAAGAATAACAATTATAATAACAATTATTCAATAAAAATCAAGAATAACAATTATAATAACAATTATTCAATAAAAATCAAGAATAACAATTATAATAACAGTTATTCAATAAAAATCAAGAATAACAATTATTCAATAAAAATCAAGAATAACAATTATAATAACGATTATTCAATAAAAATCAAGAATAACAATTATAATAACAATTATTCAATAAAAATCAAGAATAACAATTATAATAACGATTATTCAATAAAAATCAAGAATAACGATTATAATAACGATTATTCAATAAAAATCAAGAATAACAATTATAATAACGATTATTCAATAAAAATCAAGAATAACAATTATAATAACAATTATTCAATAAAAATCAAGAATAACAATTATAATAACGATTATTCAATAAAAATCAAGAATAACAATTATAATAACGATTATTCAATAAAAATCAAGAATAACAATTATAATAACAATTATAATAACGATTATTCAATAAAAATCAAGAATAACAATTATAATAACGATTATTCAATAAAAATCAAGAATAACAATTATAATAACAATTATAATAACGATTATTCAATAAAAATCAAGAATAACAATTATAATAACGATTATTCAATAAAAATCAAGAATAACAATTATAATAACAATTATTCAATAAAAATCAAGAATAACAATTATAATAACGATTATTCAATAAAAATCAAGAATAACAATTATAATAACGATTATTCAATAAAAATCAAGAATAACAATTATAATAACAATTATAATAACGATTATTCAATAAAAATCAAGAATAACAATTATAATAACGATTATTCAATAAAAATCAAGAATAACAATTATAATAACAATTATAATAACGATTATTCAATAAAAATCAAGAATAACAATTATAATAACGATTATTCAATAAAAATCAAGAATAACAATTATAATAACGATTATTCAATAAAAATCAAGAATAACAATTATAATAACAATTATAATAACGATTATTCAATAAAAATCAAGAATAACAATTATAATAACGATTATTCAATAAAAATCAAGAATAACAATTATAATAACAATTATAATAACGATTATTCAATAAAAATCAAGAATAACAATTATAATAACGATTATTCAATAAAAATCAAGAATAACAATTATAATAACAATTATAATAACGATTATTCAATAAAAATCAAGAATAACAATTATAATAACGATTATTCAATAAAAATCAAGAATAACAATTATAATAACAATTATAATAACGATTATTCAATAAAAATCAAGAATAACAATTATAATAACGATTATTCAATAAAAATCAAGAATAACAATTATAATAACGATTATTCAATAAAAATCAAGAATAACAATTATAATAACGATTATTCAATAAAAATCAAGAATAACAATTATAATAACAATTATAATAACGATTATTCAATAAAAATCAAGAATAACAATTATAATAACGATTATTCAATAAAAATCAAGAATAACAATTATAATAACGATTATTCAATAAAAATCAAGAATAACAATTATAATAACGATTATTCAATAAAAATCAAGAATAACAATTATAATAACGATTATTCAATAAAAATCAAGAATAACAATTATAATAACAATTATAATAACGATTATTCAATAAAAATCAAGAATAACAATTATAATAACAATTATTCAATAAAAATCAAGAATAACAATTATAATAACGATTATTCAATAAAAATCAAGAATAACAATTATAATAACAATTATTCAATAAAAATCAAGAATAACAATTATAATAACAGTTATTCAATAAAAATCAAGAATAACAATTATAATAACAATTATTCAATAAAAATCAAGAATAACAATTATAATAACGATTATTCAATAAAAATCAAGAATAACAATTATAATAACGATTATTCAATAAAAATCAAGAATAACAATTATAATAACGATTATTCAATAAAAATCAAGAATAACAATTATAATAACGATTATTCAATAAAAATCAAGAATAACAATTATAATAACAATTATAATAACGATTATTCAATAAAAATCAAGAATAACAATTATAATAACAATTATTCAATAAAAATCAAGAATAACAATTATAATAACGATTATTCAATAAAAATCAAGAATAACAATTATAATAACAATTATTCAATAAAAATCAAGAATAACAATTATAATAACAGTTATTCAATAAAAATCAAGAATAACAATTATAATAACAATTATTCAATAAAAATCAAGAATAACAATTATAATAACGATTATTCAATAAAAATCAAGAATAACAATTATAATAACGATTATTCAATAAAAATCAAGAATAACAATTATAATAACGATTATTCAATAAAAATCAAGAATAACAATTATAATAACAATTATAATAACGATTATTCAATAAAAATCAAGAATAACAATTATAATAACGATTATTCAATAAAAATCAAGA